CGCTCTTTAACAAAAGTAAAATTTCTTGACTAAACATATAACTAGAATCTACAACTTAAGATGAACAATGCCCTCTTTTACGGATGCTTGGAGTTAGAATAACATTTTAAGGCTTTATTTCTTTAAGTTGTTTTATAGTGTTTTATATGTTAAATTTCTTAGTGCATATTCCTTTTAAAAAAAGAAAATCTTAGTGCATATGGGTGACAGCTTACATCATCATCTAAAAACTTCATGTCAAAAGCCTTATCATTAAAATACTAGAATCTATGATGACGTGGGTTATTAGCAATATGGGATTGGATTAAAGTTTGTAACTTTGTTGTATTCTGTTCTGAACTAAATTGAAGTATGTTATTGACAATTTTCTTTGAGCTTAGTATATGAATTTAACATGATCGTTTGATGTTCATTACAAAGTAATGTATCAAGGGAATCCTGTATATGTGAATAATGTAATGTGCACAGTACATATTTATAGGTTCTCTCATCTTTAAGAAAATTTTTAAGCAAATACTGGATGGCTGCAGATAATGATGCTTCATAATGGTCTGCTAATGGGTGGAAGAGTAGACATGCACGATCGATTTAGGGACATGAGACTCGATGTTGATAACATGTCATATGAGGTAATCTTTTAACAATCAATAATGGCCTTCTACTTGTTTTTTTTTTCAATTCCTAGTTTGGTTTTGCTTACCTAATGCTAATGAAAACAGGAGCTTCTTGAGCTTGGTGAAAGAATCGGTTATGTGAACACTGGACTCAAAGAAGATGAAATAGGTCGCTGCATAAGGAAAATTAAGCTCTCGATTCCGAGTGATTGGTCGCGGTTATCCACACAAGCAGATAGGAAGTGCAGCATTTGTCAGGTGAGATTGCTTGTAACTAAATAAATGGGTGAATAAATAAAATGTGTCTGATTGGTCCTAATTTTCATTTTTGGGATCTGTTTTTCACTTATGTGCTTTTATTGTATGAAAATGCTTAAACATCTATGAAACATACTTGTTCATACAGGAGGAATATGAAGCAGATGATGATATTGGTAAGCTGGACTGTGGACATGGCTTTCACATAGAATGCATAAGACATTGGCTTGCACATAAAAATACTTGCCCTGTTTGCAAGGCCGAAGCAGTGGCTCGGCGCTAAGGCCATGGAAAACTCCTCCAAAACTTACACAGCATTGCTGGTTTTCAAAACTTGTCATTACCCCTCTACATGGTGTATAGATTTCATTTCCTCCAAGCAATACATATTCTTTTGTTTGAAGCTTTTCCCCCACCCTATTTGCTTGTTTTGAAATGATGGGCCTCATTTATATTATGGCAATTCCCATGTTTATGATCTTTACAAGTTACAACAAACCTTTTCGAAGTCACTATTTTGTGTTTTCTGCTGCCCTTGACGAATTCATAGGGCTGAAACGTGAAATGCTTGTTCTTTATATGAATTCTTTTTCCCTTTTTAATTTTGTGGACGAAACCAACTTTATAAGTGCCTGGTTCAGTTAGTACTTGTGCCGTTAATTTTATTGAACATGGACCTAATTTCTTGTGCCCGGCAACTTGGAAGAGAGTACAGATGACATATAACGTGGATGAATTAAAAGGTCCCTTTCTTTAAGGCAGAAAAGGAAAAGAATTTAGGCCCACCTTTTTCTCTCATGTCCTTTTAGCTGTTAAACATAGTATTTTTGTTCCATTGGCCGCTACATATTTACACTTTCATTTTACCGATTTAAGTTTTCAATTCCAGTTTTGTTATAGTTAAAAGTTCTTATAAAAAGTCACATTTAATCTTTTTTGTTACAGTTAAAAACTCTCACAAGTCACATCTCAACTCGAATCGCTAAATTGAAGAGAACCAGGTTTTCAATATATATACATATTCGTGTGTGTGCAAATATATGCGTTTGTGTAATCTGTCGTTGCATATCACTGAGTGTAGGTGAAATGAACATAACCTTGAGCTGGCTCCAGTTCTGTTAATCACAAGGAGCTTTTCACTCTTGGGGTTGGTTATGGTAATGCATGTTCTTGAAAGTTAAATGTAGTCAAAAGTCATTTGCCCCAAACTGAGAAAACTTGACAGATAATGAAGGTTTAAAGCAGAGGTTACAGTACCATAAAATTCTCATAAATCATTGTGTCCATGTTTTTAAGAAAGCATGCCAGATTAATTAGTAAATTATGCAAAGTACTAAAAGCGTTCTAACTTTGTACATGTTGCTGATAACAAGGCAATTGGGGTAACTAGCTATACTATGAATGTATGCGAGAAATGTTAACATCTATTAATTATGTGTCAAATAGCATAGTAAATGTAAAGAGTGACAAAAAAAAAGTGATATTAATATTTTCATGAATGTAATACGAGTCTCAACATAAGTGCACACTATTAGTCAAAAAGACGAAATAACAAAAAAAAAAGACTTTTATTCCTAGGCTGCATTAACACGGCATTGTCTGCTGACTTCTAGTATACTATATACTTGGACTTTTATGCAAGTGCTCAAAGGGAGAAAAACAAAGCAAGATGAAGATGATATGTCGGTAAATTAGGAAACTATGAGCTGTGAAATAGTTGTATGGCTGTATGACCGGATATTAGGAGAGGATATTTGATTTTGTATTGTTTCCTTCTTTACAGATTTTGTTTTTCTGTTTTAGGGATCGGATTAGACCTCATTAAATTTATATAATCTTGGTACAATTTCTCTGAAACTATGAAGGAATAAAAAAAATTTTCTATCTTCCATTACTTACATGGTATCAGAGTCGGAGGTTCTGAGTTCAAACCCCCGTAATTGTACTCTTTATCCCCATTTAAAATTGTCATCATGTGTTGGTTTTTAATATATCTCGGGTTTAAATATTCACATGTTGGGCTTTTCAATTAATTTACCCACACAATTGTCTATTGTCCAGCCCACACGTGAAGGAGTGAGGGGGAGTGTTAAAGTATAAAACTATTATTGACCCACCTCTTAATAACTTAAACTTTTAGGATAAATTAATAAACTAACAATATATATATATATATATATATATATATATATATCCATTAACATCATAAACGTTCAATACATATATGTGCCAAAATTTTGTAAATTTTCAAAACAACTCTGTCTTGTCGAATGCCTTTATTTGATAAACTCTAATTTTGCCTTGTAAACATTTTTTCTCCTAATGCACGTTATTTTTTTCTTCCCTTGTAAGGTATTTAAAAGCAAAGTAGGTTGACTATCATTTCTAAAGGCTGATTATTCACCTGTCACTTTTATAAAGACTAGTAAAAAAAAGAACGTGCATGCTAGTCATAATAGGGTACGAATTTAAATATTATATTTATTGTTTATTAAAAAAATAATTTTATAAGGTAGATAAATAAGTTATAAATAATTGTCAGAGTCTATTAATTATAGCTTAAAAGATATAAAGAGTTACGAAGAGGAAGTATAATAATTTTAAAAGGTTATAAATAATGGTGAATATTTTATTTCTTATTCGAAAAACATAGCACACAAAAAAAAAGATCTACATAAAATGCATCTATATCATTAAAATAAGTTATGAAACAGAAACTTAATGCAAATAAATTTTAAATTTTTTATTAATATGAGGTTTTAGTCTAAATAAAATGAAACATTATTATTTAATTTGACTATTTTTTTGTAGCCCTAAGTAAGAGAAAAAAATAAATAAATTAACAAAACCTTACGTCGTTTTTGATGGGCGATGGTTCAGAAGTCACTTTCGACACGTAATACAATTATTATTTAATTTAATCACTTTTTCTTAAGTTCTAAATAAAAGAAAAATGTATATATCAAGTAAGGAAAAAGTACAAAAGGTGATGGGTTGGAAACAAAAAAATAAGCCGTTTTTTCTTAAGCTATAAATAAGATAAAATAGTAGATAACAAGAAAGTAAAAAGTACTAAAGACAAAGGGTATAAAAGAAAACGTAAATTTAACCGCTCTTTTTTAAGCCCTAAGTGATAGAAAAGAGTAGATAACAAGTAAGTAAAAGATAAAAAAGGTGAAGGGTATAAATAGAAATAAAAATTAAACCACATTTTTTTGAGCCCTAAGTAAGATAAACGAGTATATAACAAATAAGTAAATAGTACAAAAGGTGAAGGGTATAAATGAAAACACAAATTAACCGCTTTTTCTTAACCTCTAAGTAAGAGAAAAGAGTAAATAACAAGTAAAAAGTACAAAAGGCGAATGGCATAAACGGAAAAAAAATTGATCGACAACTACCTGCTTCATCACATTTTTATTATATACCAGTAAAAAAAGCGCGTGCATTAGTTATAATAGGGCATGAATTTAACTATTATATTTATTGTTTATTAGAAAAATAATTTTATAAGGTAGACAAATAAATTCTAAATAATTGTCAGACTCTATTAATTATAGTTTAAAATACGTAGAGAGTTACGAAGAGTGAGTATAATCATTTTAAAAGGCTATAAATAATGGTGAATATTTTATTTATTATTTAAAAAACATAGCACAAGAAAAAGATCTACATAAAATGCATCTATATCATTTATGAAACAGAAACTTAATGCAAATAAATTTTAAATTTCTTATTAATATGAGGTTTTAGTATGATAAAATGATATTTATTTTATCATGTAATAGATTGAGAATGGTGTCCTAGAAGCATGAGAAGTAATAAAATATTTATTATTTATTTAATAAAAGAGTTTACTCATTATTTTATGTGCATATATTATTAAATATTTTATAAATATCATTGAAAATTCCATGGAATTTTAATAAATAATAGAATATTCACATATATTCTATGATTATTTAGGTCACGTAAATAATCATAAAATTTTCGATGATATTCATAAAATATTCAATAGTATATGCACATAACATAATAAATAAACTATTTTATTAAATAAATAATAAATATCATATTATATCTCATGCTTTTAAGATACCATTCTCAACAAAGTCAGCAGTCAAAAACTGACTATACCAAGGCTCTACCGGAGAAAATCGCAATATATTAATCTAGCAATTCTTTGATCTAAAACTTGCTACTGATATATAAAATTGCTCAAAGTTGTGCTTCTCGTAGACTTCCAAACTAGAGTGGTTGAATAAAGGGATATTTATATTTTTATATCTTGTATTTTAAGTTTATTTAAAAATTATACTTTCGATCTCATCAAATATATACATTCAAATTAAATTTAATATACAATTTTATATCTCATTTCGGTCAATAATTGATTTTGACATTTAAATGACCAAACTATCTTTAAGAAAAAGAGAATAAAGAAAACTAAACTTTCCAATATTACACGAAATAAAAATAAAAAACACAACAAACCATTCCAAGGGTATGCTGCATATTTTGAGGTCTAAACTGTAAGTTTAATTTTTTAATTTTTTAATTTTTATTTTTTATTCAAGTGTATTTTAGGTATTTTCAAAGTTAAAATCAAGGGCTGGGTGTGAAAGGGTATAGATTTGTGTATTAAATCTAATTTAAAGGTATATATTTAATGAGATAAAAAATTAAAGGTCTAGTTTTTGAATAAATTCAAAATACATGGTATAAAATGGTAAATATTTCATGGATAAACGGGCAATGAAAAGAACGTTAAAAGAAGAGAAAATTGAACGTTAAATGAGCTCTTGTTATGAGTTCCATAGGTCGTTTCAGTTTGAGAAAATTGTTAAACTTACTCTTAGAGCGTATCGTATGGATTTTTACCTCTTACTCTTGATTAATACCGTTTTGACTAGTATAGTTATTTGAAAAGGTTGCTCCCTCTATTGCTACAATGTGTTTTCACCTTTCAATAAGACTTTCTTTAAGGTGAGACCCTCTAAAAAAACCCACAGTGTAACACCCTATTTTGATTATTAGATTACTTTTTAACGGTCAGATCTGTAGAGGAAATAGTTCTGTGCACATTGTAAATTTTTAATACACATCTGCACAGATTTAACTATTAAAAATTTAATCCAACAATTAAAATAGGGTGTTCTACTGATGAGTTTTTTTTTAAGAAATCTCACTGTAGAGACTCACTTTCAATAAAGAATCAAGATTTAGCCAAAACAAAAAGAAAAAAGAAAAAAAGGCAAAAGACCCAAACTTTACGTTCAATTATAGTCCCATAAGTCATAAGTACACATGCAATGTTGGCTCTGGTGCTTCTTTATAACGGATCATTGCAGACATATTTTTAGCCAAAATTATACTAAATAATAGATTTTTGAAACTAAATTAAATAAATAATAAAATTTAAAATTATTTAAAGTAAATAATAATTTACCTTGTAAATATTTTAATTGTGACTGGTAAAAAATAATTTATATGGTAAAATATTTTTATTTATGTAAAAAAAAATCTTTTTTTTCACATCGTAAAAAAAAAATTTACGTGAAATTTTTTTTATTAATTATAAAAAAATATTTATATGATAAACTGCTACTTACTTTAAATATTTTTAAAATTTACTATTTACTTAATTTAATTTTAAAATTCTCTCGTGGCACAATAGAATTCTTGAAAGCAATTGCCTTGGCTTTGCTTATTTTGTAAGGAAGAGAATAACCAGAATTATATATGAAGAAAAGCATTGACAAACCATGTTGATATGCTCGAAAATGCTAAGGGAGTGTTTGGTATGAGGGTTCTAAAACTAAGAATCATGATTCTTGTTCAAATTAATGTTTGTTTACAAAAAGTAAAAAATAGTTCTGATTTGACTCAATAAAATCAGTGTTTGGTTTAGATGGTTATGGTTCAAAGTACGAATTATGATGTGATGTTTTAAACTATAATCACATCTGGTTCTAAAACTACAATTTCCTTAGTTTATGGTGGTTCAAATCCCTGATTCTGATTTCAGAACCATGATTTAGACTTAAAATCATAAATCGTGATTATGATTTCAAAATCAAGACTACAATTACCTTGATTTGAACTCTCATACCAAATAGAGTTTAATTGGTTTTATTGGTCGCAAGTACAACATATATATTATTGTAAATAGTTTAAATTGTTATTTTAGTAAAATTAGTGAAGCTAACTCGTAACATTACCCATATATTCGATATATGTTATGATTACATTAGCGACCAAAAAAAAAAAAAGCTTTTGATTATTGATTAGGATAGAATAGGGTATGTAAAACCAATATCCTATATAGAATTGCTCAATATATTTGGGCTTAAATAGCTCACGAGAGCAGGAAAAATATTTATATGTACAAGTATAGATATTCAAATGACTTGTAGTAAAATATAATTTACACACACTCAAAACTGCACTGAAATAAACTCAAAACTATTGAAGCAAGAAGATTCAGATTCTTCTTCTTCTATTGAAGCAAGAATATTTTCCATTCTTCCAGAAAATCACCGCCCATTCCAATCTCCCATCACATTTCCTCTATTCCACACGGCTCCTTTGTAATAACCTGGATTTGGATAAGGAAGACGAGCCTGCGGAAACGGCGTCGTTTGGGGAGGAGAAGCAGGCCAACAGTCATTTCCTTGTCGATGCGGAATCGGAAACGGCGAACAGTAATTGTAATATCGCTGAGAATAGGAGAGGCTCGGATCTACCAAATCAAGATTGGGGACTTCCTCCACCGTCGGATACCTAATTTTGCACGAATCTAGGGTTTTCGCCGACTTCGAATTGAACTTGTACGACAGCTTCAACACGCCATTTGGCTTCCCGTCGGAGGATCTCACCTGGTACCGGACGAATCTCACGATTCCATTGGCCGACGCCTCGTCGGTGAGATCCGTCAGCGGAATCCGGACCTCTCCGATCGTCTTGTCTCCGATTCCGAAGAGGACGCCCTCGTGGCGAAGATCCAGGTGAATGAAGAGGTGATCGAGATCGGAATCGTAATCAGAATCGAGGAGGAACCGCATCTCGTGATTCCATTCCGGGAATCCGTCGTTCTCTCTGTCCGTGGGAGTTCTCTGCTGCTGATTCTTCTCCATTTTCTTGCTAGGATCGTCCCTGGCGATGGAGGCGAGCGCGAAGATCGAGAGCTTCTGGAAGAAGTTGAAGGCCCTGAGGTCTTCCCCGGAGATGAGCTTGATTTCTATGGAGCTCGATTCCTCGGCCATGGAGTTTGGGATCAATGGCGATGGCGGAAATCACGATGTGACTTCTTTTAGAATTTGAATTTGATTAACGATTTTGGATTCGAAAACGGAAAATAAAAAGTTGTTTTCTTTGTAAATGACGAACTAACTATTTCTCTTCGGCTTTCGCGAATTAGTTTCGTTCCAAACAGTGTTTTTGCATCAGTGCAGTACAGAACGCGTTTCTTGTTTCTTTTTTTTTTCTTTTTTTTATTTATGAAATTTGTGAATACAAAAGCCGCCGACGTTTGCGTCATTGCCGTCCACGTGTAGATTAGCAACCAATAGGAAGCTTGCTTTCCAAGAGGGATTTTGTACTTCACTAGACGAGAATGCCCCTGTTTTATTTCCCAATTCCCTCTCACATCCACTTTTCTTTTTTCAGAAGGGAAGGTTTTTTTATTATGGTCTGTTTATTTTATCAATTTGAGTTTAAAATTTAAGTTTTGTTACAGTAAAAAGTTATTAGAAATAATCACATCTAATATTTTTATTATTGTAAAAAGTTTTTATATAAAGTTATATCTCAATTCGAATTAAAAACTCGAATAAGTGAACTAAACAAGCTTGAAAGTTTTTCACGGTCTACAGGAACCTTGTTTTACTATTCTATTTTCATAGGCAAGACTAACTAGTAGTTCCAAAGAAAGGAGCATCTGGCATAGGCAGCAAGCCTTGGGAAGGCTTTCTTCGTATGATCGGTTCTTTTTTCACATCAACTTGAGAGGACTATGCTAGCCATCATAATTAATAAAGAACACCCTTATTTATTTTGACATCAGTTAAAGTTGTATTCACAAAAAGTGAGTCTCGTTAAGTGTGTAATGAGACTCAATTTAATAAGATTTACTATTTTATAAGTGATGGTGTTTTATCTTTATTAGAATAAATATCAATAAAAAAAAGATGATGTTTATACTTGTAGATTAGCAACCAATAGGAAGCTTGCTTTCCAAGAGGGATTTTGTACTTCACTAGACGAGAATGCCCCTGTTTTATTTCCCAATTCCCTCTCACATCCACTTTTCTTTTTTCAGAAGGGAAGGCTTTTTATTATGGTCTGTTTATTTCACTGATTTGAGTTTAAAATTTAAGTTTTATTATAATAAAAAGTTCTCACAAATAGTTATATTTAATTTTTTTTGTTACAATAAAAAACTCTCACATAAAATCACATTTTAACTCGAATTAAAAATTCAAATTAGTGAACTAAACGAGCATAACATTAACACAAAAAGAAAAAAAAAACTTGAGAGGACCATGCTAACCATCATAATTAATAAAGAACACCTTTATTTATTTTGACATCAATTAAAATCGTATTCATAAAAAGTGAGTCCCGTTAAGTGTGTAATGAGACTCAATTTAATAAGATTTACTATTTTATAAGTGATGATGTTTTATCTTTATTAGAATAAATATCATTTTTCATCAATAAAATATGATTCTCATTTAGTGAGATCCACGGTTACACGAGTGATGAGGTTTAGAGCATGTCTATTGCAATGTAAAATTTTGCTTTAGGCCTAATACAGCTTTCATTACGCGCTGCATGTACTTCCTACGGAATTTTAGAAATGCCAGAGCCTCACGGCATAGGAAAGACATCAAGTTACATCAATAACGACCACGAAAGCTTGTTGCCTACGTGAGATTTGACCACTTTGAGGCTTCGGAATAAAGTTGGACGATGACATAAAATAGCCCCATTCACTTCACCAATTCGAGTTTAGAATTCGAGTTTTGCTACAGTAAAAAGTTCTCACAAACAATCACATCTAACTTTTTTGCTACAGTAAAAAGCTCTCATATAAAATCACATCTCAACTCAAATTACAAATTTGAATCAACGAAGTGAACGGACCCGAACATTGGGCAACTTGTGCTTAATCAAAGGGACTTATATGGAAACAAGTAATTATCTAGTAGCCAAAATTGAAATCTGATTCAGTCCGTTAATTCGAGCTTTTAATTCAATTTGAGAAGTGATTTTATGTGAGAATTTTTAACTGTAATAGAAAAAAGTAGATGTGACTTTTTATAAGAACTTTTAACTGTAATAAAACTGAAATAAAAAATTCAAATCGGTACTAGGCATAATTATAAATGATAACTCACATACCACATCAGTTGGTACATACAAAATTAAGATTTGAATTGGTGTCCCTAACACTACTTAATGTTAAATTATAGTCTTTGGAGTCCTTCTGTAATGTAATGTTATCTTAATACTTAATTTTTCATATACTAAACTTGGTGGTAAATTTACCACCAAGTATAACTTATGCTAAATTTTGTCATTTTATTAGTATTGGTTGGTATTTTCACTTTTCATTTAATCATTATTTCTAAAGCTTAATGACTATGACAAAGTACAGTCATTATTAAATACTACTATTCATTAGTGCATAAATGAAAAAAAATATGAAATATACTGGTTGTGTTATTTTTGTTTTTCACGTTTTCTGAGAAAGAAAAAATAAAAATGGAAGAGAAACGACGTTTGACACAATTAAAAATAAAAAAATAGAAATAAAAATAATTTTTTGATTTAGTGTAAAATGGGAGAGAAATAAAAAATGACTTTTAATCATTTTTTATTTTTTTTGTTTATATTTTCTCCTCTCTCGAGCAGAGAGAGAGACATTAATAAATTTTTTTATATTGAAAATAATCTCTTGATAAAATTACCAAACGTATTTTCAAAAATAATTTCTGTCTGAAATTGAAAATGTTTTCATTTCAATTTTTATATAAAAAATAAAATCATTTTGAAATGAGTTCTAAACACACCTACTGTTTTCATAGTTTTTTGAGCCAAATATACCATCTGCCTTAGCATATGCAGTGGAGATAGGCCCGTTTAGTTCGCTGATTCGAGTTTTTAATTCGAGTTGAGATGTGACTTTATGTGAGAGCTTTTTACTGTAGCAAAAAAGTTAGATGTTATTGTTTGTGAAAATTTTTTATTGTAGCAAAACTCGAATTGTAAACTCGAATCAGTGAAATGAACGGGGCCACACTTTTAGTTGCTAAATTGTATTACTACAACATAAGTGACTTTAGTCTGTCGAAGTTCTAAGTCGTCTCTAAAAGCTTATTTGATAGGAGAAAAAAGTACTGAAGCATGATGGTGAGAGGGTTAGTGATGAAGAGGTATTCCAGTAACTGTTTATCTTTGGTTGTTATTTTGGCTCCTGTGCAGCCAATAGTCTTTGAGATTATTATCATTGATGCTCCTGAATTTTATGGTTATTTTCAATTTGTGCTCTAACTTTTAAAAATTCTCATTTTGTCCTATAAACTTAAAATTATTTTCACTTAACCACTAGTGTTGTAATTTCTGTTATTTACGTATTCAAATACTGGTTCGAATCACAATTGAAATAACTAAAATTTAAAGTAAATTTTACAATCTGAACGGCGAACTAAACAAGGCATAATAATTTGTCTAAACGTTTTACTCTCAATTTGAATTGATATTTTCAATGGGTATCGAAACACAAATTTAAATTTTATTGTAAGTTTAGAATTCTTTAATTTAAGCTTGTTGATTGAAACAATGATTAGGATGGGAAAACTAGAAAAACTAGACGCTCATGCAGGTTTTGCTAAACCAAATATATTTTCTTTGGAGTCCAATCAAAATATAGAAGTCGAAACAGATGAAGAGAATAATCAATAGTTGACTAGCATAGAATCTAATAAAGACGCGGTTGCGTTGGATTGTAAAAGTGAATTACAATCTTCCATGACTACCGAGAGTTAAATTCAAATTTAGACATGACTCGTCGTCGTGAGGAGACTCACTAATTTTGTATAGATTTTGAGTCGTATTGTCCCAAATTCCCACCCCTAATTGATAGTGAAAAATGTTAAAAGTCTCTTGATATTGAACTGAAGGATGTAGCTTGGCGACTTAATTGAAACTGGAGTTAAAATTCCAAGTTGGAAACTAATGCATGATTTGATGCCTTGAGTGAGGACTTATGTAACAACAGAGTTTTAACGTTGGAAACACTTGCAACCATTGTTATCAATACCGTTGTAGTAGATTAGAATCCCACATTGACTGAAGATATTGGTATGATCCACTTAATAAGGTGAGGGCAATCTTCCCCTAACAAGCCGGTTTTGTTAGGTTGAGTTATGTCCAATATCTTTTAATTTATGTAAAATAGTACGATCCGATTTTGAGAAGTCTAATGAAAATGCTTAATTTCCAGTTTGCTGGTCCTCAAGCAACTTTGACTTCTCCTAATCATATGTAAAACCTTGACAAACCTTAAATTTCGCAACTTGATTAAATATTGTATTGTTACTAATTTCTTGTACGACTTGCATAATCATCTTGAGAATATCGAGAAGTTATATACATCTATAGAATGAACACAGCAACATTGTTTCAATAACATATTTTTACAAGAATAACAATGCTTTTAACATGACGGCATGCATCTAAGAGTTTTTTGATTTTTTTTCCTCATTACAATGCTGTTTCTTCTACACATAAAGGGTAACAAAGTACATTAATTCTCAAGTCTTAAGACTAGGAATCAAGAGAAAGAGCAGAGAGTAGTTGCTGTAAATTGAAATTGCTAAGAATGATTTGTTTATTTAAATTTAAATTAGTTTGTGTTTAGCTTATCCTTAGTATTTATAGATTAGATTATAGTTGTTATTTTTAGTTTAAGGTTTGAATTATTTTAAATAGTAGTTATTAGGAGATAAGTCTTTAGTTTAGATACTAGATTAGTATTTTATTCAAATTCAAACTCCTCATGTAATTCTATTAATATTGCATTCTCATCAATAGAAAACTTGTACCATTGTGTTTCAAAGTCTAATTTAATAAGAAATTAAGACTTACCTCTTAATAACTAATAATTTAAATTAAGACTTACCTCTTAATAACTAATAATTCAAAATTTAAACTAAAAGATAATCACTATTTTAAATTGTAATCACTAATCTAAATAAACAAAATACAAACTAAAATTTAAATAAACCAATCATCCTTATCAGTAACATCTTTCTTAACGAGCCATTGTTGGAGCTGGAGGTCCAGAGGGAGGGGGCGGAGGGCTTGGCGTGGTTCTAAGTTTTCTAATCTCCACATCTGCAAAACTCAATTTTCAATGAACAACTGCATATTATGTTCTAATTATATGCCTTCTATTGTGAGGAAAGACAAAACCAAAAAAAAAAAAAAAAAAAAAAAAAACACAACAAAACCAAAAAAAAAAAAAGACAAAAACAAAACACAACAAAACCAAAAAAAAAAAAAAAAAAAAAAAAAACAAAAAAAAACCAAAAAAAAAAAAAAAAAAAAAAAAAAAAAAAAAAAAAGACAAAAACAAAACACAACAAAACCAAAAAATTAAACATAATTTAGAAAAGCTACTGTAAGGTAGTTTTGAACTGTCAAATTATGTATTATAATTAAATTAGAGTAAAAAGAATATGCCACTTTAGTGAATTTTCATAAAATTCTGACGGTTCAAAACTATTTTTAGGGAGAGAGAGAGAGAGAGAGAGAGAGAGAGAGAGAGAGAGAGAGAACCCCTACTACAAATGAGTTTTGTTTTTCAATTAGAAGCGATCAATCGTCAAGACAAATAGAGCATATGTCAATTAGGAACGATCAATCGTCAAGAAAAGTTATGCTCGCATCTGCAAAATAACTGTTATATATATATATGTATATATGTATATATGCTGGCATCCTCCCATCGTAATTTATTTATGAAATAGAACAGATAATAAATCTAAAATAGAAGAAAAAGAAAAGACCAGTTCAAAAGGCTAACAAGTAATTAGAAATCCAAAAAGCGTAGCAAGTTCCTTTCAAAAAAAAAAGAAAAAAAGCGTAGCAAGTGCATTCGATCATAAAAGTTTCTCTCTCTCTCTCTCTCTTTTTTTTTTTTTTTGGCAGTAAAGATTCTGCCATGATAGTAAAAGCGCCTTCATTTAAACTTAATATAAGTACGAACCTGCATGGACAATAGAGATCTGCATGGCAAAAATGGCAACAAGAAGGGTAGTCACCGCCAATATGAAACGAAGAGTAGAAGAGATTGCCATTACTCTCTTTAGCATGTAAAAGCCAATTCTTATACACACTATGACGGATGACCCTGTTGTTCTTAATATGCAGCACTAAAGAAATGTGGGTCGTGTTTCAGACCATCATCAATTTCCTTCAAGATTACTGGGTCGCTTCGGTATTAATTTTAAATGTCAAAAATGTTGACGAAATTAAAACCACGTGATTTACTTTGGTCAAATTTTTAAGGGATTAAAAGGACGCGCTAACCTATTATGGTGACATTTTTTTTTTTTTTTTCTTTTCAAGTCTGCTAGATTAATGTTTGACATTAGGATGTAATGCCCTGAAATTTCTATACTACTATTAGGTGGTTGACCATATTGTCTGGATATTGATATTCAGCTAATATTCCTCTTTATTAGAATTGAAGTTTAGAATTGAAGTTTTATTATAGTAAAAAGTTATCAGAAACACTCATATCTAACTTACTACAGTAAAAAGCTCACATAAAGTCACATTTCAACTCGAAGTAAAAACTCGAATCAACAAACTAAACGGGCCATATATCTACTTCTCTTCATATTATGCGCTTTATTCCACACGCAATTTTCTCCAATAAGCTTTTCGTCCCAACAATGGAGGATATTTTCATCTCACGGGAGGACCAAAAAAAAAAGAAAAAAAAAAAAAGTCGACACCTTTTTTCTAGCTTAATTGAGGCTCTTCAAATTTAAATGTCCATTTGTTTATCTTGAATTTAATACTGTGAGCTTGGTATCTTAAGTTCAATACCTTGAGCTCAGTACCTTGAGTTTAAATTTAATGTCTCGAGCTTAGTCCCTTGAGACAAGTGCGTTGAGGTAAAGTTAAAATAAGCCCAACCTCTTGCCTCAGTATATTGTGTGAAAATGGAGGAGAACCTCTACGTTAACCATACAACAATGTGCAAATTATGAGGACGTACTCGACGATCCGTCACACCACACATGGATGGGAAAGAGAGAGGCCACGTTCAAAGGAGAGCAAGAGACGCAGAAATGGTGGAAATGAGGCAGAGGACGGTTACACTCACCGAAAGAATAAGAGAGAGATCTGTGATGATGATAGAATGTCTTGATGAAAGAACATTGTCACCATTATTCATGATGATATTCTCACGATTATGGTCCTCTATTGCGAAGCTGTGGGCAGAGACGTTAGGCTTGACAAGGTTTTGGAAGATGGAGATATAGGTTTAATTTGGTCTACTCTCATCAGAGTTTGTTTTCCCGAAATAATTTCAAAATTTGTCCTTGATGAATAGAGGTTGCCAAACTGTGACCTCTATAACTCAAAATGGCACAAAACTCCCTCTTGAGCTTGTCATAAATTATAAATTTGGTACTTTTGTTATTGAAAAGTCAATTTTATAACTCAAGTTGAGAACTTGAGTTGTGTATTTGAGAGAAAAATACTGTAGTAAAAAAGTTGATTTTGAATTTTTATGCGAGAAAATATTATAGTAATGACTTGAATTGTGAAAAGAACAACCTTAAGCGTAAATATATCATACAACAAACAATATCATATTGTTATTGTGGTAGGTTGTAGAACAGTGCTCCGCGTTGAAACATAACCTTTCCACTTGATCCAATAGATATATAATATAATTGTCCACATTCGTCATTAACACGTCGGATTCAAACGAACGAGCAAAATAGTAATTAATTCACTGAAGCTCTGAAAATGATAGGAAAATGAAGATTTATAAGGCTATAAATGGATTCCATACAAGTGTTTGACATACATATCTATTAGCCAAGGATACAAACCTTGACAAGACACTTTTTAACATTAAGTTCTCATAAATGTTTGTGTAATAAGTGGATAATACTGTTACAAGGACTTGTATATATTTTACCCCATAAACTGCTAGAACAAGAAGCTTGTAGCTTCTTGCAGATGTATTTTAACTGCTGCATTAATTGTATCATACTATTTGCTATCTTGTTTCTTAACAATCTGCAGTAGTGACAGATCCTATATCCATAAGGTTTTTGACCGTCTTCTGAGTATAATTAACTGGTTCGCTTTCTAATCGAGTGAAAAAAAAAATGGTATTTATTGTCACTTGTGTACAGGAAACAAGGGTAGAACCTTAGAAGAATCAAGCCCTCTCGTTATGATTGAGGAATTTAGTTATATGAGGATAAACTTGGTCTGGGGCCTGCGTGTGAGAGAGAACCATTAAAAAACACCAAGACATAAAAGACCAGCACACAGCAATATTCATAACACAAAGAAAACCAGAGGAAAGGGAAATAGACCATCCGTACCAGACGACTTCCTACGACATCGTAGTGAGCATAATGAGGGCCACCGGGTTCTCCAAGAATTTTGAGAGTTACCATATGCTCAGGAATGAGCTTTGCTGTTTCTGCTCCATTTTTTATGATGGCATTGAGAAAAATAAGAAAAAAAGAATAAGAAACATAAAGGTAACTCAGTTGACAAGATAGAGCTCACACAGGACACATAGATTAAATGGATTAATATTCTACCATAAATGGCTTCTGGAGGACAAATTAGATCCTGGTCTCCTCCGATGGCTAGTACAGGTACATTGGTTTTGTGTAGATGATCCTTGTAAAAGAATGTCCCATTCCTATCACGTAAACCGCCCTTGTAGAAAGCCGATGCTAGCTGCAACAGGAGCTTAGCAGGTATAGTACCTAACAAAGTATAATCACAGGTAAATGAACAAACTCATTTGCAATAACACCAGCGGACAAAAAAAAAAAAAAAAATCTTATATAGTTAGGTGTTGATACAGCCACTGGCCCACTGCCTACTTTATACAGCCACAGAACAAATTGCTCAATGATTGAACTCAAACACCAATAATCCTACAATATAATGATTCTTGGGTAGCGAAGACATCGCAACAACCACATAAGGTGCACATTTCTTTACAACTCTCAGATAGGTAAAAAGGTTCTGGTGAGGCATGTAAAGTCTGACTAGCCTCGAATTTCATGCAGGTCGGATCAATTTTGAGAATCCTAAGCCTTGAGTTTGGCCATCAAGGTCTTAGGCTCAGGACTCTTTAGCACGGCTGGGGTTCCAGTAAATATTACTAAAAAAATCAAACTTTTCAGTTGAAAATTAAAAGTGAGAATCAGATTTAGGGTGTTCACAGTCTTCAACCACTTTAGGAGGGCATGACAAATTATGAACCAATGCCAACCATGAAAATGCAGGTTTGAATTCTACACATTGCATATGTAACAGAGGCCATTTCTCATGCAAGCCAAACATTCTAATCAAATTACCCAACAATCATTAGTCTATTACATGAATGCTCATGCAAGCATATAGCATTACGCAAGTGCAAAGTTAAAACTGTTTTGTACTTACAAAAGTTGTTCAAAAGAAGCTTGTCATACAACTCTGGTTGCATCATTTCTTCAGAAGAAACTTGACCTTTCAGCCAAGACAAAACGTAAGGAGGACGGGATACAAAAGGATGAACAGCAGCTAGTATTGCGCCTACAGGAATGGCAGGAACATTTAGAGCCTGTGCAGGGTCTGCCTGTGTACCATAGTACAGCATCAAGGTTAATTGTCATATTTGTTTTCCAATTGCATTGCTTGTAAAAGTAAGACACTCAGTCTCTAGCAGGTAATTCATATAACTTGCCAGGGGTAAAAGTAATTTGAGTGATGATCTTGAAGTTGAGTAGTCAAGTGAGGATGCCAATGTAGTTACTGATGCCAATCCAGAATCGTTCCCTTTGAAACCTTACAGAATACCAGATGTTACCGTACAATAATAGTTACATAATAAAATAACATATTACCATGTCATAGAACTTGCAAATATATAATTTTTTTTTTGTCCTGAAATCTAAAGGACCATAATGATAATGTAAATCATAAAATGATTACTTGCTGAAGCGCAAACTTGTCTGGCACTATATTGCCTTCCATCTGTTTTGTCCGCAAAGCTGGGTTCTTTAAAATGTTTTAAGATTTAGGGACTTTGAAATTGATTCTTGTATTTAATGATAGTTGGCATTTAAATTTTTCTTTCATCAATTGCTTAGAGAAACTTTTTGGAGTAAACTCACCATCAATAGTTAGTTAGTGAAGTAGACAGTAATTATGCTACTTTATTAAAAAAAAAGACAGTAAATATACTAAGATTGGATGCTATCAGGTGTTTTATAGTTTATTTGACTTTCAAAAAGGTCATGAAAGTTAGAAGGCAATTGTAGCGAAAGCGAGCTTGGAAACTTACTGCATTTTGAGAGCATAGCATATAGCAAGATACCCCCCATTGAGTGACCAATTGCGTGCAACTTGCCGTTCTTTGGTTTGCATTGATTTCTTATGTACTCCATCTAATATCAGAAATGAAATTTCAGATTGTTATTGAACAACAGCACTAAAGCAATGCTTATAGCAGAATTGTGCACAGATTTAGGTGCTTGACACTTGGGAACATGATTCTTCTCGACTTAAAGGTGATTGGTCGTTTGAAGACAAAACACACAAAATCAAAACTCTTGGGTTCTCTCTCATCAAGAACTGAAGAGGAGAGTCATCGTCTCCCTAGAAAATGCATCAATTTCTTCTGATTTCTTTCGATTTTATCATTTAAAAGAAGTGTTACTATAGACATAGGTGTCTTGTTATGTTGTTCCAAAGCCATACTAGTACCATATGCCCTCCTCTCCAAGTTTTTGAGGGGTGTGCTGCCTATCATAAAATGACATAGGTGTCTTCTTTATTGGCTTCATAATTCTAAAGGTTTTTTTTTTTTTTTTGGATAAGAAAAATCCTTGTGACTGCATCGAAACATGTGTGAATTAAGATTGTGTCAAGTACGAAGTTGTCCATGAAGGAATGTCACCTCACCACAGCAGGCACATCTTCATCAAGAAAGTGATCAAAATCCCAGTCACACTTGAAGATTAGCTCAAACTGTTGCTGCAGATCTTCTAAAGTAGTATTAAAGTTCTCTGCCGCACCCAGAAACTGCGAAGGGACTAATATTTGACTTTCTTTTATGATATTTACAAGCCACTGACTAGGATCAGTAATTTGGCTAACAGAATTTTGACAGGCTCCCAACATACCTGCAATTTTAGCACTAATATGTTCAAAGCTTCATGTAAATAATGCAAATAAGTGGAAATTTTAGGAGCTTCCTTGACTAACCCTCATTAAGAAAACTTGATATTCTCTCAGAGAAAGGCATAAAAGTTTGTGTCAATCCCAATTGCAGTTTATCCAACATGGTATGTGTCCTCTTTTCCACAGCAGAAATATCAGAATCAGCAAAAGCATAAAGGTTTACAGTGGATTTCCACCCTGAAGGAGAGACACCGTCTTTTCCATAATTGCGTGAGAAATTTATGTTCTCGGAGATGGGCTGCTTAACTTTGTCCAAGTCCACACCAAGAGTGCTCAATCCAGCACCTCTGAGTTCAAGAATCCAAGTATCAAATCCATGGCCAGACATGTAACGAGCAAATGAACACTGGAAACAGTTCAGCACATTATAAGTTGAGATTTAAATGAGAAAATAAGTTTGGTTCACAAGCCATACAATTGCACAGAAGTACAAGAAGCTTTGTCTTTCTTTCTCATGCATAATGGGGAACGCAAATTGTTATCCACAGATTATACCAACACATCACCATAGAATCTTTATTTATCTGTGGAAAAAAAGGGAAATAGAATGGTTATAGTCTAAGTTTCACTGTAGATTCATTGATTGTCACTTGATTTTGATTGATGATTAGGTAAAAGATGCATCCGTTTATTATCTGTTCTATTTTTTGGCATTAATAATGAGGATTTTTTTTTTTGCTGGAATATCACTATCAATCCTTTGGCATAAATAAAACACTATCAAATCATTCTCTGCATATTTGCCCATTTGTCTTTCAATATTTTTTGAATTTCTCAACTAACCACATAAAATCTAAAACTTGTTATAATTGGTCAAATTGTCGGACTGTCTCCTCAAAGGTGATAGGTGAATCACATAACCTACAATTTGGAGAAAATAGTGAACTAAGTAACCTAATGAATAATAAGACTTTGTGGCGGGTTGACATGGCCAGGCAAATAAATAAATAAATAAGGTATATGCTTGTGTAGAGAATAATTATAAACTTTGTTTCAATCATGGACCCATTAAATAATACTCTGACCAGTCAACCATCTTGGAGATTGGTCAGCCTCTTTTCTATTCTACAGATCTAGAAACTCAATGCGACAAACTACTAAACAAATTAATATCTTCTATTCTAACTGAATGTGACAAACAATTAAATAAGTTAGCACTTTAATTCTTTACTAGTGACAGTACAGCAATAGCATAAAAGAATGAGAATTTTATGTTAGGGTATGCAAAAAAAAAATACTCAGCTCATAGGTCTGTTTTGAGCCGTCAAATCAGTATTAGAATCAATCGGTTTTGTATAGTCTTTTAGGCCTCTTTCATTTTGCCGATTCGAGTTTAAAATTCGAGTTTTGCTACAGTAAAAAGCTCTTAAAAATCTAACTTTTTTATTACAGTAAATGTTTTCATATAAAGTCACATCTCAACTCGAATCAACGAATTAAACGGGCCTGAGTATTTTACTGTAATTTTGATAATCTAATATTCAGAAATATGCATCACTGATGAATTATTTCTACCCTCAAAAGCTCCACAATAAGAACGGCAGGGGAAACAGAATTACCCGTCTCACGCTTAAGGATAACTAGACTCAACGCCCCCAAAAAAAAAAAAAAAACGTAATATACGCGTATACATACAAACCGTATGCATTTACAGTAAATATATATACATGCAAAGCATAAACATTCGAAATAAGAAAATGAAGCTTCTAATTAGCAAATAAATAAAAAGGAAATGAATCAAAGGTTGAAAGCAGCGAATAATTGGTTAGATTACCTCGGGAGAGAGATCGTATCCAATGGCATTCGTCGCTATTCCAGATAAAAGCAACAGCGGATGATTCCTTCTCTGCACCTGTAATTAATATATATATATATATATATATTTGTATAACTGAAAATTTTTCAAAAAAAAAAAAAAGAAAGAAATGAAATGAAAAGTACCTTGGGAGAAGGAAGGTAGCGCCAGAGAGCGAGTCGCCAATCGGAGTTGGGAAGGGCGACGAAGTGAAGCTCGTCGGCCGTACAGATGGAGAATCGCTTGTCGTTGTTCTTCTCCACCGCCACGCCGATTGAGGCTCTCACGTCTCTCTGCCTCCGCCGAAACTTGTCGGCTCTCTTCATGTCGTACCACCGAACGTGGTTGGGAGCTCCAATTCCAAACGACATTGTTGTTGTCGTTGTTTTTTTTGTTTTTTTGTTTTTTTGTTTTTGTTTTTGGATTTATGGTCTGCGTGTGTTATATGTCCAACAATTTATAGATATTTTTGTATTTCGGTGGATATTAGATATTTATTTCATGGGGAATGATTCATTTGGATTTAGATCTTTATTTATTTATTTATCTATTTATATTTTGATAATGGATAATGGATTTTTCGAAGCAATGATATGCATGATATTATTAGGTGGCGATGATACATTTTGGAGCTGTTTGACAGTTTGTTCTGTTTGTGTAACTTGCAAGTAATGTTTATTGAATTATTGTGATAGATGTTGACTATATAAGTTTTATGGGTCCTACCAAATTTTGGATATACCATTGGTTCATTAACAATTAACAAATTTTGGATAAAATGGGTCCTACACAAGCAGATACATTGCTATAAATTATTAATTGTGATATAAGTGATTAAGAAGTAATTAGAACTCAACAGAGACATTGCTATAATTGTGTCCTATAATTGGCCATTCAGTTACAAAAATCATTTCTTTTCGCTCATTTGAGTTTAGAATTCGAATTTTGTTACAGTAAAAAGCTCTCAGAAACAATCACCTTTAACTTTTTTGCTACAATAACAGGCTCCCACACAATATCACATCTCAACTCGAATTAGCGAACCGAACGGGAACTCAACAAAATCAATTGCATGAACCTCACATTACTTATTAATGTAAGGTATTTTAGATCATGATTTTAAGATGAATTTAAAAAAATTTAACCCGCGCATACTTTGTTGGCCAATGAGCTCATGTAGAGAGAACATAATTTTTTCCCTTTTTCAAAAAAATAATAAAAAAACTATTAAGGCATGATTTGTTTAAAACACCGTTCGTTAACCAAGCAAGTGAGACACTTAATTTCATTGAGTTTTCAATGACTACTGTGATCAAAAGAGCAAACATATGATCAGAGCATAGTTTAGGGAGCAGTTTGTTACTAACAATTTAAACGTAGATTTCAGCATCTATAAAGTACTTTTTTTTTTGTCACTTTTGACTGACAAAAAGAGAGTTAAGATAATGTTTACATTAACTTCGTAAATGTCCTTTAAAATTATATATACTAATTCAACGTGCCCCTTGAATTTTAAAACGGATTAAGCTTAACTCCTGAAGTATGTAAAGTCGTTTAAAATATCCCTTGAACGAATGAAATTTCATAAATATCTCTTGAGTTATTAATTTTATGTCAACTTGCCTTTCGATCTTTTAAAAGATTAAGAGCAACATGACACAAAGTTAATAGTTTGAGGGGAAAATTGACTTAAAATCAATAGTTTGGTGTGGTATTTTTAAAACTATTAGTAGTGTCGTGATATCATTTTGTTGTTGAATTAATGTACATAATTTATGGGGTTACATGAATCATTTTTAAAGTTTGAGGGCATGTTGAACAGAGGTAAATAATTCAAGGGTTTAATCTTAATGTTTATTTTTGAAAGAAAGGCCATGTAAATAATTTCAGCTCAGAAAATGTCCATGTAATTTCTAGATGATGTCGAAGATCTTGGACCCCAAAAAAAAAAAAAAAAAAGGAAAGAAAGAGGATGGTGCTTGAGAATGATTTGGGATGTTGTGGACCCTCCGAAGGTATAGCTTGTTTATTAAGACAAGAAAGCTAAAGAATATAGCTAGTTTGTTGAGATACGAAACTATATAACGTGATCAAAATTACTACCTTAGACAACAAAAACCTGCACTATCGTAATTTACAAGTTTGTTTCTTTTTCTTTTTTAGTTAGATGACAAAACAGAAGACCATATTAATCTATATTTCTACGTTGTTCTGTTGGCAACTGAGCAAAGCAGAAATTTTTAATTTATTTTATTGTACTTAAAAGGCCGTTTGATATAATTTATTTTTGGATAAATTTTATCCCCCAAATTTTAGTCATTTGTCATTTGAGATGAATAAATCACTTTTTAAAGTTTAAGGAGGAATGTTTTTAGTTAGATGACAAAACAAAAGACCATATTAACCACTATCTGTACGTTGTTCCCTTGAGAACTGAGCAAAGCAGAATTTTTAATTTATTTTATTGTATTAAAAGCCCGTTTGATATAATTTATTTTTGGATTAAATTTTATCCCCCCAACTTTAGTCACATAGTTATTTTATCCCTTCGAATTTTAAAAAATTTAGGAGTAGATAGACCACTTTTTAAAATTTAGAGAGCAAAGTAACTAAAAGTTTAGGGGAAGAATAAAATTTAGAAAAATAGTAGAAAATAAGCCAATATGAAAAGCTTAAGAAAATATATAGGTCAATTTTTAGTTATAGAAATTAATATGCCATAACTTGTCAAGTTATAATTCATAATCAAATAAGTTATGGATAAACTTGTCAAATTATGATTCATAACTAGACAAGTTATGAACGAAAACAATAATTTGACCTATTTATTAACTTATGTAAACTATTAGCCTATTAATTTTAATTCATCTCAAGTCTTAGCCTATTTCGTTCTTTCTCCCTAAAATTTATCCTTTATTTTTACTTTAAACAGTAGAAAACGGGAACCATAAGCCATGATTTTTTTTAATTATTATTTAGATAGTGCATGAAAAAGAGTTTTCAATTTCATAGGAACTTTTGAAAATGTTTAGTTAAATAACTGTCTTATTTTATTGCTGAAATTTTTAATTTGTAGTCGACAAATAAAAGATTAATAATGTAAATAATAAAGCTTTTTATAATTTTTTTTTTTTTTCACAAGCAGTGTGCACTGAAAAGGTGACTTGTTCCGAAAGAACTAAGAAAAGCTAAAAGCCCTATCAATATATGCACCCAAACGGGTCTAAAAGCAGCTTTTTCCAATTGAGTACTAATAGTAGGAGATTCTAGCTACGATTCTACGTCCTTCAATACTTGGAAAAAAAAAAATTCTCACGTTGTCTTCACACAATCCGTACGTCTCAACTTGCCTTAATACATACATGAAAATAGACCAAGAGAACAAGAACTCAGCAACTTTATTGCAACAACGTCGGGCCAGCGGACACAAATGCTCGGGTCATACTTCTACGAAACATCTGTACTTCTGTCAAAGAGAGAAACAAAATCTACTGAACCACAATAGCTTTCCTCACCGATAAAATAAACAATCTCTGTCAAAATCTATCGCTGCTTCTTGGCCGTTGATAAATCGACCAGCGAAAGAATGTGCTGCACAATCTCTGCCGATGCATTAGGCTTTGCAGCTTTCAGAGCCCTCTCAGACATATCAGCCATTTTTTTCTCATCCCCTATAACACAAGAATAATTAAGGATAAATCATACTTAGAGGCCAAGTTCGATCTCTTTCAATTCTCTGCAATGAAAATTTCCATATTCATTCGTAACAGACAATATTAACTACAAGTTGAAGTTATAATGAATCTGTGAATGAGTTCGTAGAACAAGGACATAGACACCCGAGATAATGTACTATATTAATTGGAACTGCAGAAAGTTTGCATCTTGAATGAGCATATACCAACTGATGCATTTAGAGTATCATTGTTGTCAGCTGGCCATAAAAAGTTATAGAAAGCTAGTTATACGAGTATGGCGCTGCCTATTTCTACAGAAAACTTGAGAAATGCGGAGTCTGAAAATCTTTTAAGGTATTATTACAAGCCAAGAAAGATCTAGCAAACATGCCAAGGTCCAAAAGGGGTGCCAACTCTACATTTCAACTAACAGCATCGTCATAGTAGACAGAGTGTGTACCAATGTTCATGAACATATACTGATTATCAGAAAAAGCAAACCTTTCTAGCACAAGTATATACTACTTCAATAGATGCTTTAGCATTATAACCTTAGACAAGAATTGTTTTACTTGGTCTGTTGAATCCTTTGATGTCAACGAAGCATGTGGAGAATTTGAACTTCCTACCAACGTTTTTGACCGTGCAGAAATATTTACATGCATGATTCTAATTGCAAGAGCAGCAACATTCTATGCAACATACGCAACATTGACATACCTAATAACTCTTCAATCGCAGTTTTCAGGGTGGTTGAATCGAGTTCGTCTTCAGTTATAATTCTTGCATCAGCTAGATCTGCCATTAAAGAAGCATTTTTGAATTGATGTCCTTCAGCAACATTTGGTGATGGAATCTACAAAGTCAAGTTAAAATCATCTTCTTTTTTAAGTCAAGCAACTGAAGCAACCTAATTGGATGTCATGAGCATGAAAAACAGAGAAATTCCTATTCAGGGTGATTTTGTATAGCAAGGAAATAGAAGCCAAGTCGACTGGCTTATAACGTATTCCCATCAAAATTGATCATTTAATCAAACAAATATCATGCTTGTGCATAAAATGCAGTTGAAACAAAGAAAATAGAAATTACCAGAATGGAAGGCTTCCCATGGGCCAATATCTCAGAGCAAGTCATTGCACCAGCTCTGGAAATTACGAGATCGCCAGCAAGGTATGCTAAATCGATAGAATGCATGAACCTACACTAGATGCATTAACATCAGCTACACAAAAATATAAGCATACGCATGGACAGTGCATCATGACAGTCTTCAATAGGATGAGACCACTATTTGTAAACTTCATCAGTTAAAAACAAATAAAAAGAGACTTAAGTTAAATTGGAAAAAAATATAAAGATATCAGCCATGACTTCTGCATATGAATGATAATCCAGAGGTTGGGTGAGTTTCAACTCGAAAGCTGATCTTGGAATAGAAATATGAGAATTATACAATCATAATATAAACTCGTTGAACAATGCAACTGGGCGTAATTTGTTGAATTCCACCAAACTAGAGTGCTGTTACCATATTGATTAGCTTCTTAGCTATGTACTATAAGTCCACTCCATATCTTCGGTGTAATTAATGGCGTGGGAGATAAAGAATATTCACAACACAACGACTTTAACTGGAAGGAAATAGCTACAGAGAACCAATATCCGACCATCACTAGGAGATATATTACAGCTCCCATTCTCAAAATTAAACAGAGTATCTTACCCTGATGCTGACATTCAAAGAAGCCATAAGAAACGAAACCTGTGAGAGTAATCTCAGTAAATATGTAATGTATAATGAAGAAGAAGAAGGAAAATGACAACAGAAAGTTCAAGAAGACTAAACGCAGCATTTTCATTTAAGGGATTCAAATGGACCAGTGAAAGTGCTATACGTGGAAGTTGCTTCAAGTCGGTGCTGAACCAATTTCGTCCTCAACAAATATATATGTATAAACAGAATTAGTTGAAGAGAAGGGGGTGAGGAAAAGAGACACTATTGTATCTGAGAGGTTGTAACAGAATTTCTAGTGAGAGAAACCAGTATAGTTAGAGAGAGAGAGAATCTGTTTGTGAGTGTTTGGGGTGTGAGAAAATAGAAGAAATTAGGAGTTCTTCTGAGGGTATTTTTCTCTGGAAACACTTTGATTTCTCTTGGGTTGGTTTCTGGGATTGTGTCTCTAATTCCTCAGTTGAGAGATTTTGTGTAACAACTAAGGGTGTAATCTTCTTCTTCATAGTGGATTGAGTTTCTTGTGGAGGAGCTCAGCAGAAGTAGGTCATCTTGACCAAACCTGGGCAGCTTTGGCGTGTTCATATTTTTCCCTTCTTGATTTATTTAGATTCATCTCGATTCTGATTGTGTTGGTCTCGTTCCAACAGTGGTATCAAAGCCGATGGTTAACTACCGATTGGTGAAGGACTAGAGGGTTTTCTTTTGGGAAATTCGGAAAAATTCAAGGAATCTTGAAGAAATCTTGAAGAATGGAGACTTGCAAAGTTTGAGCTCGAGAAATTTGATGGATGTGGCGATTTTGGTCTATGGCGAAAAAACTTCGGGCAATCTTGGTGCAGCAGAAAGTGGCAAAAGCCCTAGGAGACATGAAGGATTTCATGGGCACTGAGGAAGAGAAGGCTGAGATGCTAGAAATTGCCTACTCTACTATCATTCTTTATCTTGCAGACAACGTGTTGAGGCAAGTCAACGATGAAGACACTGCAGCAAAGGTTTGGCTTAAATTTGAACAACTCTATATGATAAAGTCTTTGACTAATAAGATCTACCTCAAAGAGAGTTTGTTCAGTTTCAGAATGGACACCTCTAGGAGCCTAGAAAAGAATCTTGATGCGTTTAATAAGATTGTTATAGACTTTGGCTAATATTGGTGAAAAGATTGAAGAGGAAAACCAAGCAGTGATTCTCTTGATTTCCTTACCTGAGTCCTTTAGGGAGCTTAAAAATGCTATCAAATATGGGAGAGATAGTCTTACTCTTGAAGATGTACTGTTTGCTTTAAGGTCTAGAGAACTAGAAATCAAGAATGAAATGTCTCAAAGAAAGGACACTAATGGAGATGAAGGGCTGTTCACAAGAGGTAGACCACCCAAGAAAGAATTTGGTGGGAAGAACAAGAATAGGCCACCCTCAAGGTCAAAGTCAAGGAATGGGCCAAGAAAGTGTTTCTTCTGTAAAAAAACCAGGACACATAAAGAGATTCTGCAAGGAGTGGAAGAAGCAATTGGCTGAACAAAAGTCTACTGAAGGAGATGTTGCAATCATAACTTAAGACGATGGCTATGAGAGCCCTAAGATGCTTGTTATTGGGACCTCTAAAGAAGAGTCAGAATGGATTCTGGACTCTGAGTGCACAAATCATATGTGCCCAAATAAATCCTGGTTCTCGAACTATGAAAGGAAAGATGGAGGTAAAGTCTTGATGGGAAACAATCATGCTTGTACAGTGATTGGATTTGAAAACATCACTGTCAAGATGAATGATGGGACTTATCACACTCTCAAGAATGTCAGGCATGTTCCTGAACTTAGAAGAAATCTAGTCTCCCTGGGTGCCTTAGATGATGTAGGATATGGTTAAAAGCTGGAGGTAGAGCAATGAAGATCTTAAAGGGGTCTTTAGTGGTGATGAAAGGTGAAAAGAAAGGAGGCCTTTATGTCCTGAAGGGTCAAACTGTTACTGGTACAGCAACGACAATAATCAGTGAGAAGTCCAGGGCTGAAATCTGGCATAGAAGGCTAGGGCATGTGAGTGAGAGAGGTCTCCAGGAACTCAACAAGCAGGGACTACTTGGAGAAGATAAAATCAATTATTGGGATTTCTGTGAACAGTGTGTTTTAGGGAAACAACACAGGCTGAAATTTACTACATCAACTTACAGAGCAAAGGGACCACTGGACTGTACATGAGGATCTACGGGGCTAGAAAGAACACCTACTCATGCATGGTTCAGGTACTTTCTTTCTATAGTTGATGATCACTCTAGGAAAGTTTGGATTTACCTATTAAAAACTAAAGATGACTGTTTTAATAAATTCAAACAATGGAAAGTTCAATGAAGAAGGAGAAGGAAAACGACAACAGAAAGTTCAAGAAGACTAAACGCAGCATTTTCATTTAAGGGATTCAAACGGACCAGTGAAAGTGCTATACGTGGAAGTTGCTTCAAGTCAGTGTTGAACCAATTTTGTCCTCAACAAATATATATGTATAAACAAAATTAGTTGAAGAGAAGGGGGTGAGGAAAAGAGACATTTTTGTATCTGAGAGGTTGTAACAGAATTTCTAGTGAGAGAAACCAGTACAGTTAGAGAGAGAGAATCTGTTTGTGAGTGTTTGGGGTGTGAGAAAATAGAAAAAATTAGGAGTTCTTCTGAGGGTATTTTTCTCTAGAAACACTTTGATTTCTCTTTGGTTGGTTTCTGGGATTGTGTCTCTAATTCCTCAGTTGAGAGATTTTGTGTACCAACTGAGGGTGTAATCTTCTTCTTCTTTATAGTGGATTGAGTTTCTTGTGGAGGAGCTGAGTAAGAGTAGGTCAATTTTTGGGCAGGAATAGGTCATCTTGACAGGACCTAGGCAACTTTGGTGTGTTTTATTTTTCCCATCTTGATTTATTCAGATTCATCTTGATTCCGATTGTGTTGGTCTCGTTCCAACAAAACCTTTCTACAGTATCCTGCCGGTAATGCGAATTTATCAACATTAAATGCAGTCAAAATCACATTAAAAAAAAAGAATGTAAATTTGACAGAATCATAATACAAATCTAACGGTTTAAAGCAAAACCTTACTATCCTACTGTTATTTCATACCAAAAGTCGAAAACACTTTGACATGACAAGAAGACATTTTCGATAGGATGAGACCATACACATGGACAGTGCATCATGACAGTCTTCGATAGGAGGAGACCACTATTTGTGAACTTCATCAGTTAAAAACAAATAAAAAGAGACTTGCAAAAATGAGTGAATCATTTTTGGAGTTAAATTGGAAAAAATTATAAAGATATCAGCCATGACTTTTGCATATGAATGATAATCCAGAGGTTGGGTGAGTTTCAACTCGAAAGCTGATCTTGGAATAGAAATATGAGAATTATACAGTCATAATATAAACTCGTTGAACAATGCAACTGGGCGTAATTTGTTGAATTCCACCAAACTAGAGTGCTGTTACCACATTGATTAGCTTCTTAGCTATGTACTATAAGTCCACTCCATATCTTCGGTGTAATTAATGGCTTGGGAGATAAAGAATATTCACAACACAACGACGTTAACTGGAAGGAAATAGCTACAGAGAACCAATATCCGACCATCACTAGGAGATATATTACAACTCCCATTCTCAAAATTAAACAGAGTATCTTAACCTGAAGCTGACATTCAAAGAAGCCATAAGAAACGAAACCTTTCTACGGCAAGATACCAGTAATGCGAATTTATCAAACATTAAATGCAGTCAAAATCACATAAAAAAAAAGAATGTAAATTTGACAGAATCATAATACAAATCTAACGGTTTAAAACAGAACCTTACTATCCTAATGTTATTTCATACCAAAAGTCGAAAACACTTTGACATGACAAGAAGACGTTTTCCCACAAATTCTAGCATTACTATTGTGTCTTGTATAATAAGTGTACTAGCAAAATGAAGGAAGAAGCATGACAAGACAACAAGAGAGCAACAAAAACATATACTCACGGTGTCAAATGCAAATTGGGGTGATTCTTAACAAGGCTCTCCATCTCATCAAACGCCTCAACCCCAGTTTGCCAAATAATAAAAAGCCTCTCATTCTCCATCAGCATCTGAGAATAAACATTCAGCATTGCAATATTCACAGCATTTGCTCCCAACGACCCTCCAAGAACCAAAACCACTTTAGCATCCTCCCGAAGTACATTCCCCGACCTCGGAAAGAGCTTCGCCCTCGCCGCCGCCTTCAACACGTCGTCCTTCTTCAACGACAGCCTCACGGGGTTCCCGGAAACGACACACTTCTTGGCCCTGGGAAAGCAGTCCACGGTCGAATTGAAGGCGACAAAAACGGCGTCGGAGAAGTGGGAGATGACCCAATTCGCAACGCCGGGGACGGAGTTCTGCTCCTGAATCACGAGCTTCGTCTTCTCTCCGAGGAAGACCGATGCCAAGCAAGGCGGCAACGAAACGTAGCCGCCGGTGCCAATGACAAGATGGGGGTCGAAATCTTTCAGCTTGGAGTAGCTGTGGAGGGTGGATTTAATCAGACGGTAGGGGAGGAGGAGATTTTGAGGGGAGAGGAGGACGGGGCGGGCTAATCGGACGGCGGTGATGGGCTCGAAGTCGTATCCGGCGGTGGCGATGGCGGCGCTTTCCATGCTGTCGGGGGTGCCGAGGAAGAGAATTTGGGTGTTGGAGTAGGTGAGCTTGAGCTCGTCGGCGATGGCGACGGCGGGGTAAATGTGCCCGCCGGTGCCGCCACAGGCGAAGGCGACACGAAGGTTGGAGACGGCGTCGAGTTGGGTTTGGGGTTGGTTTATGGAAACACAGGAAGTGATTTTGAAGTTTCTGTTGGGAGAAATGGGGAGAGAGAGAGAGGTGTGGGTCGGGAGATTTGGAGAGAGAAATGTAGGAGTGGCCATTGAAGAAGAAGAAGTTGTTGTTGTGAAAGAGCAAAGATCAGAGGCATTGGCAAATGTGGGAGTATTTGGGAGAGTCTTGTGTTGGGTTTGCTTTGGTTTTCGCTAATACGAGGGAGGTTGGTGGGTTTAAGAAAGTGGGGGGACTCACTATGAGATGGACAGTTGAGACTCAGTTCGGACAGAATATGCTTATATAAATATATATATATATATATATATCCCTAAAAACATACGAAAATGAGACAGACAGTTGCGTCAATTCCAAAAAAAATATATATTGGACACTTCTGATAAGGTTTTTAAAATGATTTTATTTTTGATATAAAAGTAAAAATAAAATTATTTTGAGAATTATTTTAAGATTGATTTTAAAATTGTGTTTAGTTAGTTTTTTAAGAGATTATTTTGAATATAATAAAAATGTAAAATTATGTTTGGTTATAATTATTAATTAATATATTATAATATTATTGATAAGTATTAAAAAATAAAACCAAAAAATAGAAATTTTTTTAATTATTTTCTAATTTATTTACAAAAATCATTTTCATTATTTTTTATTTTTATTTTCGTTTTCAAACATGTACTAAATAAATACGGTTTGCACACTGTTTTTATTTTTGTATCTCAAAAGACGTGTAAAAATATTTTTAAAAATAAATAAAAATTAATTTCAAACGCACCCATTGCTTTTCAGTAAACAACGCTCTCTTCTAATTTGTGTTTTCCTTGTTTTTCAGTAAAAAAAAAAATGTGTTTTCCTTAGTTTGTCATGTTTCTCATAGGTGGTTTTTGCGTTGAAGGATTGAACATTTTCACCGATATTAAAATTTAAATTTTTTTTCTTACATCATCAATTTAAAAGGGTTCCGCATTTCAAATTTCAGAAAAAAAAATTTCTAAATTTTTTTCATCAAATATTAGTTGTCCTTAACATTTATAAGAAAATTCTAACTGGACCCTGCTAAATTAACTGATGACTATATTCATGCTTACATAAAAAAAATATATATCTATTATGGTATATTTCCCATATATTAGTATTATGATTAATATTTCGTTTATTTATATGTTTTCATTATTTTAATTGTTTTTAAAAGTTTCGTTAAAAATTCTCAAGTGTTATAAATTTTAGTCAATTTCAGTCGATAACAATATTCTTCTCAACATTTTTGTAAAGCTTAGGTTACCATATTTTCATCTTGATTAAGAGTAAATGAAAGCGGAGGGCATCATCTCATAATCTTCTTTGCCAAATGCAAACAAAGGAATCAATGCAATGGTTTCAGCCGAGAGAGAACATAAAGTAATGAATGTCCATCGTCTTATTTGTCCTCGAAAACTGATACTCCGTTTGTTTCGAGGGTTATGACCTGATTTAAGATCATAATTTTTAGTTTGCTATAATATTTTTCTCTTACAAAAAATTTAACTTTTAAAAATTAAAATCATGAACCAACGGTCACCTGAATTTACCGCATGGTTTTTTTCTGTTGGTTCAAAAAGCTGGTTTGGTGCACTATTAAGTATTTAAACACCCTTCAAAAACAATTCTGCGTATGATTTATCTAACTGGATCTAACTACGCCCCTTGAATCTTAGCAACCATGCAGGTTGATAGATTCTTTATGATGTCGGTAAAAAGACAAAAAAAAAAAAAAAAAA